CACATCTGAATCCACAGTCCGCAGATACTGCCTCTGGGTGAGAAACAGATTCCAGAGCCTTGGGTAATCGTAAATACACAGTAGAATTAAAAGGAAACCAATTGCGCCCATGGAGCCATGAGACGAAGGCAGCAAGGAAACTGTGGTCATGTGGACAATTAGGCTATAATAACATTTTATCAAATTGTGTAAACTGGAAAATACATCAGCTTATGGTTTGTGTGTGTGTATGTTTTATTCTCTGCTGTATCCCTAGTAGCTGGAACAGTGAATGACACATAGCAGGTGTTTAATAAACATTAACTAAATAATTGACTACCCAAAGAAGAAGGGCAATTATTCTCATAAATGCACCATACTACTAATTCAACACTTCAGTAATAATAATAATAATAATAAAATGTGACCGCTTCTTAGTAAATGATAATATCCCTATTTAATAGAGATTGGATTAATTAAAATATAAGGAGATAGGGAGGGAAGGATGTCTAGATGACTAGAACCAGAAACATGATAAAAATCTGGATTAAGGAGAATACATAAATCATAGGCAAAACTTAGAGTACTCTGTTCTGCAGATAAATTTTGATATTCATGCCTTTTTATTTTAATAGAATGTAAAAAAGCAAAAAGAATATTTTAAGAACATCGCATATTTTGCTTTTTATTTTTAATATTTATTAATAGGACATTCAAGCTGTCCTATCCACTCATTTATGTATTACCCATGACACTGACATATTTTTTCACACTAGCATTTGACACAGAAATTGGAAAAGAATATTGACCTAGCTTCGACAAATTTGGAACAAGAGATTGTTTGCTGAGAAAAATTAATTTCACTTACAAAGAATACAATTAGCTTTTAAGAAAAGTATGTTCTTGGGACCAGTAGGTGGTGTGGTGGTTGAAGCACTGGACTCCTACATGGCTGAATACAGTTTAAATCTTGGACCTGGAGGCTTGCTTTCTCACTCTCCCTCTCTCTGTCTCTCTCTGGTCAAATTGAAGACTAACAATAATCAATATAATTAAATAAATAATTCTTAGAAAAAGAAAAGTATGTTCTCTAAAGCATCCATTTCCTATCTCCCCATGCATCCAAATTTGGACATGTTAGTAGAGAATGTCTTTCCAGGGTCTTTGGTGCACCTACACATCTTGCTGATAATGCCAAGAATGCATGACCCTCACTCCTCTTTTTCTAGGCTGTTTCCTGGTTGTCAAGTCTACAGCAAGCAACTGTCAGAGTTAAGATAACATCTCCCTCTGAGACAGAGAACAAAGGGCACCATGGGTACCACTTGCTGTGGGTGCCCACATCCATACAGATCATTCAGATGGGCTCCATGGGAATTGGGGCTTAGAGAACTGATGTGGCATGCTCGTGCTTCTGCTATGACTTTCACCAAGAGCTCGTGTTCTTCTGCTAGCACCCATAAAATTGACTAACACATGATATTGAAATAAGGTAAAATCTCCAATTCCTCATTGTTCTAAAGACCATGGCATCATCCCAAAATGGGAAGGTTTGTAATTAGGAAAGCTTAGTGCACTCAAGGCACAATAAAGTGAATTTTCAAAAGAAAAATGTAGTGCATTACAAGTAAATAATTAAATTAAAAATATCCCTTCACTAGGACAAAAATAATTTTTTTTTTGGAGAGGTTTTTGCTATAGGGCACGTGCACTCGCCAGACAGACAGAAAGAGACAGAGAGATAGAAAGTGAGAAATCACCCCCCAGGGGCAATGGTCATGCTGCAATCCCTTCTCCTCTATTCTCCTCATGGGATCTTGGGCACGCATGCACAAGCGCCCGGTGTGAGTTTAAGCCACCGGGTCCAGGGCTCGAACCGCAGTTGACTATGTGGGAGTCCAGCGACATAGCCATTATGCTAACTGCTGGTCCCAGACAAAAAGAATTTTTAAACAATAAAAAATATTTTAAAGGATTTTGAAATTATATTAACTTTTTAAATCTAGTCCTTTACTTGAACAACGGTTATTTTTGAGTGTTATGACCGAGATTGGATAAGGTGATGAGATTTTTTTTTTTTAAAGATTTTTGGGATAGGGTGTGTGTGCATTCATGCACATAAGAGAGAGACAAAGACAGTGAGAGGGAAAGTGAGAAATCACCCCTCAGGTGATGGCCACACTACAATCTCTTCTCCTTCATTCTCTTCCTGGGACTTTGGGTACTCACACACAAGTATCTGATGTGATTTGTAAACCACTGGATCTGGGACTTGAACTGTGAAGGCAGCCATATGGGAGTCCAATGTCTTAACAACTACATCACCTGCTGGCTCCCAGTTATTGTTTCTTAATACGGAGAAGAATTTATTTCAAGAATCATGATTAAACATTTACTTTTCAGACGCTAGCTTCTATTTTTGCTAAAGTAAAAAGCATCTATCATCTTTCACATAAATTCTTAGATTTATTGTTGGAATAAACTCTTTTTCTTGATGCTTTGAAAAAAAGGAAGACTTCTATACCTTTCTTAGTGTCATTTGTCCCCTTTAGAAAATGCAGTAATATGGATAAGTCTTAGCTAAGATTATTATAATTTGGAAAGTTAGTATGCCTTAGCATTCAAATGATGAAACAGGAAGTCTAAAAATCTAATGTATTCAGATTAAGAAACATAAATTATTTTATACAGATCTGGGGTTTTGTTTTGTTTTGTTTTGTTTTCTTCTCAAACTTTCAGGAGACATGCCAGTTCTCCCTCAAGGCCCAAGAATAATAATAGAATAAAATCTTCCTGGTAAAATACCAAATAATGGCAGAGAAAGCAAGAGTAAGAGAATGAGAATGAAAGGGAGAAAAAGAGAACGAGAGAAAGTCCATTTTGCAAGGGTATAAATTACAGGATATAAATTACAGGATACTAGAAGTATGCCTTATTGAAACATGTTCTTTAATTGTTTCCCTTAAAAACAACACTAATTTAATAATTTTGCAGATGACCCATTCATTTTGTAGAATGACATAATGTAAATGAAATCCTCCTATTTGAAGACAGGACCTCTGAAGAGAAACTTAACTAGCATTTCACATCTACTTAGTTTGATAGCTCTAGTAATATACTACATCTGTTTCTGCTCTTAAAGGAATTCCAAACAATATGACAATAAATATGTCTTTAACATTTGCTACCATACTTGGAGCATCTCTATTTTGGAGTATCGCTATTCAGCCTTTTCAGAAATTTCTGATTAGTTAAGAAGTTCAAGACAAAGTCACTATTTTGATGTATACCTGGGCATGCTGTCCAGACTATAGGTGTGGTGATTTTAAATCATGATGTACCTAGCTTCCAACCATTTCCCCGTTCATTGCTGGTCTCATTTTTAAAAGCTATCAGTGAGCGGCCCCATAAGTGGCATAGTGATTGAGTCACTAAATCCCATGTGGATGACTGAGATGTTTAAGTCCCGGACTCGGGCACATGTGTGTGCATGCCCAAAATCCTGAGGGAGAGTGGTAGAGAAGAGATTGCAGCATGGCCACCCTCCCTGGTGTGATGTGGGGTGATTTCTCATTTTACTTCTCTCTGTTTCTCTCTGTCTCTCTCTCTCTCTAATGAGCACATGTGCCCTATAGTAGAAAAAAAAAACTGAGAAAGAAAATAAATGAAATTTAAGGCTATAAAATATTATATAAAGGACCAGCAGATGGCATAATGGTAATGTCATTGGACTCCCATATAGTCAGCCGTGGTTCGAGTCCCAGACCTGGTGGCTTGGAATCACACCAGGCATGTGTGTGTGCCCAAAATCCTGAGAGGACAGTGTAGGAGAAAGGATTGTGGCATGGCCATCCCCCCTGGGGGATGATTTCTCACTTTCTGTTTCTCTGTCTCTCTCAGTCTCTCCAACAAGCACACACATCCTATAGTATATATTTTTACATCATGATTTAAAATATGTGTGTGTGTGTGTGTGTGTATATATATATATATAGAGAGAGAGAGAGAGCAGAATAGAGATGTATATTACACTAAAATGTAGAAAAAAATTTCAGGTAAGATTGCCAACCTCACATACTAAACACTACTCCAATGATATGAACAGATGGATATTAACATTCAACAGGAACCACCTTCTATTGTACAACTGATTTTTTAAAAAATAGACTAGGAGAAGCAGAGTACTCTTCGACCCCAGGGAGATCTGGGATGATTCAAAGCAAGATGTCCTTTCAGTTGACTTCATGGAAAAGCACTGTTTCTAGCCTTGTGATGTACATGCAGACAGCCTGCAATATTCATGTATTTTTACTTAAAAAATGAAAGAGGATTTAAAATAACAAAGACTTCTTTTTTTTTAGAGGTTTTTACTATGAGGCGCATATACTCGCCAGAAAGTCAGAGAGAGACGGAGAGATATAAAGCGAGAAATCACCCCCCAGGGGGGATGACCACGCTGCAATCCCTTCTCCTCCATTCTCCTCTCAGGATCTTGGCATGCATGCGCACGGGCCTGGCGTGAGTTTAAGCCACCGGATCTGGGACGCAAACTGCAGTAGACTACAAGGGAGTCCAGTAACATAGCCATTACGCTAACTGCTGGTCCCAACAAAGACTTTTTGGTTAAAAAAAAAAAAGAAAAATAAATAATTTCGATGTATTTTATAATTTCCTTTGCCTGTGAGAAACACTACAAGTGTACATAAGCGTCTCCCTACCCTCAAACAGACCAATGGCATCTCTAAGATAAAACCATCATGAATGTGTTTTGTGTGTGTGTGTGTTTGTGTGTTTAAGTAAACCTTTACACGTCAAAGCATAAAGTTGCTTTGAACTTTAAGAACCAAAAACAGCCATAGTGAGAATGTATTTTAAAGACTCTTTTTTGCTGCCATCCAGTTTTGAAATTCTATTAATACATGGAATTTTGCTTTGTGTGATGTTCTCCAGCCTTTTCCAGTAACTGGTCTCTAATTGGTCTGCCTGATTGTCTAAAGTGATCAACTTGACCTCACACTGACCTTGTTAGCACTGTTAAAAAAATCATTCGCCTTTTTTAACCAGGTTTTTCTTTCCACCATCAGTTGACCAAATTCTTCTTGGAGTCGATTCAATTTCTGATTAGAGAGGTGTAGATGTTGTTTCTCCATGTGGTCCTTTGACAGCAGAAACTCCAGTGCCTCACTCTTCAGCTTTTCAGCAGTGGAATTCCATTCCTACAAAACATCACTCACTTTAGTTTATTTTTTACATGGCCCCAGTTTGGACTGAATATTTGTGCCACCCCATTCATATATTGAAATCAAATGCCCAATGTAATGGTATTAGGAGGTGAGGGGATTACGTCAGGAGAGTAGAGGCCTCATTCATGAAATTAGTGCCCTTTTTTCGTTTTTTTTTTTTTTTTTTTGGAGAGGTTTCTGCTACAGGGCTCAGGCAGTTGCCAGAAAAAGAGACAGAGAGACAGAAAGAGAGAAATCACCACCCAGGGGGGATGGCCACGCTGCAATCCCTTCTCCTCCATTCTCCTCTCAGGATCCTGGGCTCGCACGCACATGTGGCTGGCGTAAGTTTAAGCCACCAGGTCAGGGACTTAAACCACGGTTGGCTACATGGGAGTCCAGCGACACAGCCATCACGCCAACCACTGGTCCCCTGAGATTAGCGCCCTTTAAAAAGAGGCCCACCATAATTCTCTAACTCTCCTTGGAGGATACCTTGAGAAAAGCTAGCAGTCTGCAATCTACAAGAGAGCCCCCACCACAACCTGACCTGCAGGCACCCTGATCTTGGACTTTCGGTCTCGAAAATGGTGAGAAAAAAATTTCTGTAGTTTGTAAATTACCCAGTTTATATGGCATTGCTACAGTGGCTCAAACTAAGATGCTTTTTGAAATCTCTGATAAGATTCAGAGTACATTTAGATGTGTTGAATATATCAGAAACCTGTCATTATAGTTTAAATGATGAAAACATGGTAAATACTGTAGCAGTAAACGTTACACTACAGGTTTCAGCACTAAGATGTAGATACAATAGAAAAGCATGCAGGAAAGAGACTGAAAAGGGAGTGGAGCTGATAGCAGGAAGAGGTAGGGTGCTGGGATCTGCGATGGATGGAGCACCTGCCGTCCAGCGTGCAGGTCACTTCCGTTCCTGTTAACTCTACCTGAATGCATTTCAGTAACAGCATTTTTAAGTGTATAACTCATTTTGTGCTTTGTTTGTTTGTTTGTTTAACTATAAGAAAGTATCTACCTCAAAATTCTAGCTCACTGTCTATGTGGGCAAACGCATACAAGAAAGGAAGAGAAATCACATAACGCTATGAAAGTTGTTTTTGTGTTTGCCTCCTCTGAGAATTGAAACTCAGATCTGTTATTCATCCCAATAATAGCTGTTATTTTTGCAGTTTTTCCTCCTTCTTGACCTCAGTTTCACCTTTCAATACTTCATTCTTATTGACATATGAATCTTTCAGTAAAAGAAAAAAGGTAGTTTTTAACTTTGTGTTACATGAGGATGAAAAAAAAGGAAAACAGCAAGTAAAGTAAATAAAAGTTGGAATAAACCAAACATCTAATTTATTTGAAAGGAAATTCAAGTTTCTTTTAAAGAGACTAAAGCCAGATCCAGTTTCATAAAATAGTTATTATCTCTAACATGTTAGACTTGTTAGAGAATTTTCTCATACTCATCTCAGCTGAAATTGAATGGTAAACGTAGGTTATTTGTTAAAGCATACAAAATTTAGCACCAGATTTTAAAAATCTCAGCCTGATTCTATCCTGGCTTTGTTCCCCTAGTGCAAAATGTCATATTATTAAGTTACATTTGTTATATTACATTGTATAAAATAAACATAACTTTAGTGCAATTTATCATTACTATTTCCATTCATTCATTTCATAAGACGTGTTAATACTACGTGCCTGGCATTATCATTTGACAGATATCTTGAGGAGTATAAAACAGGAACAAAATGTAGTTATTTTCTTTAGCAATACACGGATTGTTATTTTATATGTAACACATATATTTACATTATGAAATACATTAATATATGCTGGTCCTATAAATACACAAACACAAAAAATGATAGCATTTTAAAATAACAGTTAGTTGTTGTTGAAGGTTAAAATCATACATATTATTTTATGGGGTTCACAAAACCTGTTCTAGAATTTGAGCAAAAGAAAATATTTTGATTCATAAATATAAGAGTAAGGGACTGGCTTTTTTTCTTTTTGTGTGTGTGTACTTGTTATAAAACTATATAAACTCAAGAACTCTTTGGGGTATTTTTTTTTTCAATATGTAACTTAGGTTACATATCTAATAAGTGGCAGTACTGGGACTAATTCACAGTACTGTATGTCATGATGACTTCCAGAACATTGAAAACAGAGAGACTCTAAAATCTCCAGATTGCTCAGTGAGTGCAAAGGCAAGTTTTTAGCACAAGTATGGGTTATCTTAGTTCTTGAGATTCTCTATTTTTCAAAGAGCCATCATTTCCCCACTTAGAGAAAACTGCTATGCCCTGCAACAGTCTTTCATAAAGCACTGTAAATACCTCTCCCACTTAGAACCATAACTTTAACCAATTGTGGATGAGCAAATATTTTTATAATTATTTATTTTATTTTATTTATTATTGTTGTTCGATTTGATCAGAGAGAGACAGAGAGAAAGAGAGAGAGAGAGAGAGAATGAGTGAAAAAGCAAGTTGCCAGGTCCAGGACTCAAACTGTGGTTGGCCATGTAAGAGTCCAGTGCCTTAACCATCATCACCTGCTGGCCCCTTTAAAGCACTTAGCACAATTTCTGGCAAGCATTATAGGTACTTCTAAAGGTTAGTCCCACTTCCCATCAATTTTATCATGGCTCCTCAGTATCTCAAAATGTGTTCTTTATTTATGTGTATTTCTGTTTCTCAGTTCTAAAATAATAGTAGAGTTATGCATCCCAAATGTTATGGGTCATTGTTATATGTTGAGCAGTACTATGAGATAAACAAAATAAAAGAGGTTTCTTTACTGCAGTACTTCTCTGAACCTTCAGTATGTTAATGTGCATCGATACTCTTCAAGGACATGTGGTTTGAAAGATTTTGGATGAACTTTCCCAACCAAAAAATTAATTATTTGCTAATCAATTCAGAGGACCAGTGCTCCAGTTGGAACAGTGTCAGAAAATACTGTTTTGTGGCTAACAGTCCCCGTATCGCTTCTGGGTTTACCTGCTTTCTCAGTTTGTTTCTTTCCTTCCCTTCCCCATGCACATCCTCCTAGCAATTCAATCAGTTAATTTCCTCTTTTTGCATTATTTTTTTTTCCTTCTATAGATTCATGGGGAAGAAATTCTTAATAAATGCAGGTGAAAAGTGCTTAATATGGGAAGATGTGGAACAAAGCAGGCAATTTAAAAACAAAACAAAACAAAAACAAAAACACAAGCTGGTATTAAGCAGAGCCATCTGTGCTCACTGGGGAAGACCACATAACAAATATGGACAATCTGAGAAGGACATAGAATGCTAGGCTGAGGGAACATGTGGGTTAGGGTATGGAGAAATGGGTTCTAGCCATTGTGTGCTGTGCTTCACAGCAGTGAGCTCCAGGATGTCTTAACTGTCTCCAACACCGTAAGGACTCATTATTTTTTTTCCTATTGTTAACACTGTGCTAAGTGCTTTGAATGTATTATCTCATTTAATCTTCACCACACCCCTACTAGGTAGGAGCTATTACTATGTCATTTTATAGATGGAACAACAGAGAGAACCTAGAGAGATTACAGCTTACCCAAATCCTCAACATTAAAAAGTGGAAGAGCCAAAATTCAAAATTCAAAATTAGGTAGTTTGGCTCTGCTCTCTACTTTTTCAATGGTATCCCAGCACCTGTCTTCAAAGCACATATACTATTTTTCCTAATACAGGAAGTATTTACCTTTAACCACTAGAAATTTAAAAAAATGTGTCATCATTATTCTCATTTCAAAGGACAGGTCATCTCAGGATGAAAGAGCAAGTTCTGATAATGGGGAGGAAGGACGTTAGTGGCCAGTGATGAGTAGTTTTGACAGATCATGATAATCAAGTCCCCACGTAGGAACATCTTGGAGATGTAGTTGTCATTGTTGACTGAGTTGGACTTTGTGTCCTTGATGTTCTGTATTGCAGAACTGCACTGCAGTGCATTTACATGGCCTGGGAGTTTCTTCTTGTTGAGGCAGTTGATAAACACATGGGTGTGACTCTTGAGTGTATGATTATACAGAGTGGACCCATTATAAATTTTCCAGCTTCCAGAGCTCCTCAGGGGTCATCTCACTCTTGGGTTTGTTAAAGAGGCTCATGGTGGTAGGTGCATTCTCAGAACACTCCTGTCTCCCCTCAGTTGCTTTCCCATCACAGAAAGATTAACCACATGCCTTTAGAATTACCTAGATAAAACATCCAGAGGCCTGGATAAGGCCTTTGAGATGATAATAGCCTTATATAACCCTGGGATTTTTCTGATTTGAAAGCTGAAACCTCACTATTTCAAAATAAACACAATGCTACTATAGCTACAATTGAAAATTTACAGCCCCAATCCAGGTGTAATTTTGCTTAGCAATTGGACCAAAATAACAAAGCTCCTCTTATGAATAAGAAGAAAAATACTTGTTCTCTAACAATGTCCATATATTTGCCTTTAGTATAAATTTTGCAAACAACTTTAAAAAGACTTCTGGAGCAGGGCCAAGTCTTTGAAAACCCACTTTAACCTTGTGCTTCACATCGTGCTGTAAAAGTGGGCTATGACCTTCCAAAGAAACTATAAAAGACCATTTTGTGCCTCTGATCTTTTTTGTTCTCCATATCCAGTCTTCTTAATTACATTTCACATGAACTCTGTGGGTATTAAATGAAGCTGGGTCCATTCAATACTTCTATTCAATCTTCTCAGAAAATTGGTTCTGTTTTCTTTGGGCAATCTATAGGCAGCTTTTGATGCATTTTTTACTGTTCTGATGATATATTTCCCTGGCCATTTTTCTCAGGGGACACTTCCACAATTTTATTTTTAAGCTAAAACTTTCTAGAGTCATCTGAATCCATCATACTATTTAAAAAATATAGTTGTCATCCTTGTCAAGGCTGGAGGAACCCAATGGAGAAATTCTTGGTCCGTTTTCTTTAAATCATTGATGCCTGACTGCTAAG